TATATATATATATTTTCATAGCTTCGTTTTAAAGTAGTTTGTCATTTCATTCACTTAGCTGACAAGCTGATAAATCGCCTGTTGCTTCATTTGGGACCTTTCCCAGGAAGGAGACGAAGCACAGTCAACTTCATTTGCTGATAACACACATGCCGCAAGGCAACATCTCTTTGCTACAATCAACACAACTGCTACTTCGCAAGCTTCTGGGCAGTGAACACGTGCAGCAGGGTGCTTTCAATAACACCTTTATGAGGTGCCCTGTTTTCCAGGATCCAGGTGGCTTGTTCATATTACTACTGAAATTCAAATGGTGAAGCGATTTATAAGCCGTGATAGGAATGAGCAGGCGCTGTTAACTTGAAATAATAAAATGCCACATGTGTGAACTGACATACACAATATCACTTACCTCTAATTCCAAGAGCATTTTAAGTTGGCTCTTGTCCCTGTTACTGAGTGGTTTAAACAGTCTGGGGAAGGGACATGTGGTCCCCAGCGGGCACTTACCGATTTCTCTGGCTGTAATGCTCAGGTTGCACCAAGCACTCGTCTCCCGGTCAAGAGGGCCAGCCGTGACGATGGTGCCATTGTCATAAATTTGGAAGGCACTGCCGCTGGTAATAGAGTACCTGGACCAAAAAAAGGCTTCCTCAGTTTCATTTTCTCTGTGCAACGGTGACACATAACACCTTTTAAACGCAATGAGACTGATTGTCAAATGCATGCTCCACATAGCTGATCAAATTCTGAACAATTTTCAGAAAGGCGTATTTATATATTTAAGATTCAATTCACAAGAGCTAGGACAAAAAACAAAACAAAACCTATAATGGCTTCACAGTTAAGTTGATATATGCTCAATCTTAACCCACTCTCGTTCCTAAGAGAGAAAATGCTAATAAGTGAGTGGCTTGGTTAAAAAGAAATGGCAAAATGTCACTCACAAAATAAAGAGAAATGCAAATGAATGGGAATAAAAATTAATGCTCAGTAACATTTTTTTTTGTAATTTGAAGCAACATAAAACAGTTGCCTAGACTGCCCTGAGTCTCTTTCCAACACCACACGGTTCTTGTTAAATCTGTGCATATTGTAATTACGCGGTAGCTGACCTATGAGAAATTGTTTAATTTTGTTTGCTGAAATAAAACAATCTGATAACATTTAATTTTGTTTTCATGATATATTAGGGACATTTACTATACTACCTGGAAAAAAACAACAACTTGTGATCCTAATATATGAAAAGCAATCTTATTTATAAGACACTTCTAAATGGAAGAATGTCCATAAAAGGCATTGAAATATATTTTTGATAGGTTCTCACAAACTATTTTTAAAGGTAATTAATTTCAGTATAAAAATGAAAATTGTGTGTCTCACTTACTTGTCTCATATCTACCTAACATTTTTACTAGTAGTAAACACACAACTCCAATAATTTTGTGTTTTCTTTTAAAATCATGCCATGTTTCTATTAATGCTCATAGGCATTGTTGTAAATCATTCATCATTATTGCCTTGTTTACTTCATTAAGATTCAATATATAAATTGTTTTCAACACTTTATCATAAATAATAATATCATAAACAGCTTAGTCATTATGGCATTTTTTAAAAGTTAGGTATTCTTAAGTATTCTAAGAACAATAAATAGGTTAATATATATACTACTGTAAAAATCTAAATTAATTTATTGGGTTATAGTTTTATATTTTCCCCCCTAAAATTACTATAACTAAATAGGAACTATATCTACAAATTAGGAGCCAGTTTTTATAATTAGTAATTACTGTGGAAAACTGGGAGCATCCCTGTCTCAAAAATTTAAAGCAGCTCCTTCTTTCTCTCTGTTCTCTCTG